TTATTAATTTTGCACGAATGATATTTGAACATAAAATTTAACGATTTTCTTTAAGATGAAAATTTAAAATTAGTAATAAAACAGTTTAAAATTTATTAATTCGTTAAACACTTTTAGTTTGAAGCCCTTTTCACAAATCTGTCTATATAAATTTTGAACCTTCCATTGGTCTCGTAGNTATAAATTTTGAACCTTCCATTGGTCTCGTACGTTTCACTTATAAGAAGCTCTCCGAGATGTTAAAAACTATATTTTTCAAGTCTGTGCCGCTCTAGTTATTTACACAAATATTTGTGAAATTCTGTAGAAGTATTTGTTTCTGAGAATAATCTTTGGAATATGGTTTACGCATTACGTTGTGTTATTCCCATTTCCTCTTTAAAAGGTACTGATAGAAAACCTGTCCATGATGTCGTATGTTGTTTAAATGTACATTATTATTCTAGTAGAAATAGGAACATTTTATTACAACATCTTGAATTCCTATTTATGGATAAATAATAAACATTATTGAAATAATAAACATTATTGATCCTACATAGCTAATATTATTTTGAAAATGAAAATAATATTATTAAAATATGAAAAATAATGAAAATTATTGTCTAGGAAATATTTTATTTGCTATGATTTTTAACATTATGTCTTAAGTGCTTGTGTGGGAAAATGTTTGCATATGTTTGTTTTTACTGGTATATTTTTTGTGATTTTTGATTTGATTTTTTTTATCTTTCAAATATTATTTAGGGTTTAAGTAACTCAAATTATTCTTATTCATCAATGATTCATTTAATTTTCATAACAAGATCAAATCTTAGGTAAATTTTTGCTTTATCCCTTTCCAATACCTAATTAAATACTAAGGAAATTACAGGTAACTCTAACTTTTATCTATAAATCACTAAATTTTTATCCTACTTAAAAAGTTAATATATTTTTATCGATTGATTCTTTATTAATTAAACACTTATTAATCAAAAAACAAGGATTAGATTAATAACTTGTTTTGTTTTATAGTATATGTTTTTCTCAATTTATTAACCTAAGTATTTTTCATGTTTATCCCTTATACCTTATAATGGTGACAACTTTAGTTTTTCAAATGGCTACTGACATAATTAACATATTAGATATTAGATAATCACCGATCGATAACAACTTTTGGACGAATATTTCAAAAGTATAAACACTTAAAAGTAATAACTGGTAGTAATTGAGATGCTCACTCTAATATTTTTATCACTAGACAATTCTTAGATTAATTTCTACGCCCATGTAGATATAAAAATGTAAATAAATTATGAAATAATGGTCCAAAAGTTTTTATTGATCAGTCAATTTCTTAATTAAATCATTATCTAATAAATAAACTATTTAATTATGTATATTGTCATTTGAAAGAAATAAAGTTGACACCCTTAGGTATAAGGAATGAATATGAAAATACTTTACGTTTGATAAATTAAAAAAACATGTATTTAAAAGAAACCAAAAAAAAATGTTCAATATTATGTTTATTTTTCGATTCATTATAAAAGAATAACAACCATCTATACAGGTATCACAGCCCATTTTCAGAAAAATCCTATAACTTTTGATCCTCTGAATATTTTTTGTTGCTCTCTTTTATGAACTTGTTAGGATGTAAGACTATAGTAATATCACAGATTAAAAAAGCAATTACTTACATCAAAAATATTTTGTTTATAATTTATTAAAAACTTAAGACATAAGAGTATAATAACAGTAACAAATGTCTTGTTCGTCTTTGTCATTTCCGGTAACTATTTTCGTTTAATTATTGTACCATTACAATAGTTTTCTAGTAGAAGGGGTGTTATATATTATACTTGCGTGTTATTTCTATGCCAGAAGTATCACTCAATGGTATCATTCATCAAGGAAGAGGAAATACTCGACAATGACGGTTGTGGTTGTGGTGGTGAGATGATACTTTCTATGTAGACTGCGTGGTGTAACTATTAGCCCACCGTGATTTCTAATTATAATCGAAATGGCCGTGCCGAGATTCAATCGAAAATAGTTGTTCTAACTTAAACCATGTCACTTAGTGTCAATCGAATAAAAATTAGAATACGAATCATCATTAAATCATTCAGTTAAAATCGTTTGTTTTAATTTCAAAATTTGTATACAGATTTTTTTTTT